TCCGCTCACCGTTCAGAGAAGAAAGAGAGGTCAGGCCTCGCTTGCACATTTTCATAGAAGCTTCATCATTCAGCCATGTGTACGCGTCAAAGCAAGCGAGTTGACATATCCGGCATGTGTGAAGCATGCCAGGATTATAAGACTCGGTCAACAATGATACAAGTGGCTCGTAGCTTGCTGTGTCCAATCGACGACGATGGAACTCACAATGACTCGTGGCAGACTCATTCATTCAAATTCATATGACTCTATCATTTTCTCAAGCCGCGAGAATAGGGAATGTCAATAATAGTGGGCACAACATGCTCCAATTGCGGAGCTTGGCCGCAACTTAGCCAAAACTTGCCTGCCCTGTCAGTAGCTCTCAGCAAATGCACAAGTGTCCCTTACTCATATAGCACGTGGTTTTAATACCAAAGAATTGAGAATATACAAATGCGAAGCTTTCATTCGCTCACTTGTAAGGAAGTCCAGATCTTCCACGATATTGGCTCCATCCGCCTTAGCGTGCACACGATCAAGCAAAGAAAGCTTGAGACCGTTGTGATTTCGAGCGAGCGAGTTGACTCCCCGTTTGGACTCAGCATGTGAGTGCCGAAAGAGCCTGAAGAAGCCTTCATTCTCAACTAGTACGTACGACGTCGTGATGAAGACGGCTACATATTTGTAGACCGCACAATTCCTGCTCCTGACGTCCCGCGCCATCTAGACATCCGCGGCGATCTGGTTTCGTTCGGGCTTCTCTCCATGATCAGACTTGCCGCTCAGTTAAAAAGCCGCTCAGTTGAAACCCCTCATCAAATACGAATACCAAACCAACTAGATGAGCCAAGTGACGACCAATATTCTACACGCCTGGAGCAAAGGAGACTGGAGGGGGCTTTGAGTTCAAACCTTCTGCTCGACTATACAGGGGACTCCTGCCGAGAAACACTACTTGCACCAATCATTGCAACTTTGACTCTCTCCTGCAAGCCACTACCGTGAGCTCCCTAATGCGTCCCAGGTGCTCCCTTCTAGAATTACCCTTTATACACGCATCCTCGTCCTTGGTCGTTCCTCCCCCGTAAGCAGTCCGGCCCTTCCGCTTGCATTCAACCGCATGTCGCCAAACCGCACGTCGGCAAACCGCACACGTCAGACTTTTCCTTATCGCTCCAGTCATATTCAGAATGTCCACTCCTAGCGGCACGTGCCTCTCCGACTCGACCCGGTCGCTCAGACTCTTTTGACCCCGGCAGAGCAAATCCTCCTGCCGGCCCTTCCGTACTTTCCCCGGGCGGCGGGAACCACAAACTGGTGCTATACGATGGCTCTTTGCTTCCGGCTTCTGCCCGGGACGCTTCTACCATGGGGGAACTGCAAGAAACTCCTTCGAAGGCGGGACTGCGGGGGCGTTTGGCGACCGGTGTTTCCTCGTCCGAGGCTATGACGATCGGATCTCCGGCGGTTCCTCCTACCGCAAGCTGCATCTTCTCGTCCGTCCGCGCCTTCCGTTTCCTGTTTCTCAGAGGGTATACGCTCTTCTCAGACGGGCTCTCAAAGGAGGCCTTGCTGTCAACGTTATCTAGAGGATCACCACCCGGGACGCTTCCTTGCCCAGCCGGTTCCGCTACTTGAGCCCCTTCCGCTTCCGGCTTCCGCGCTTCCGCTCGACCGCTGCTTATCACCTCGGAACCTCCCGCACCGCGCTCACCCTCTCCTTGAGCGCGCGCCGCAAACGAACGCTCCGCGCGCGCGCGCTCGCGCCGGGCGATCTCGTTGCGCGCGCGCTTGTCTGCTTGCTTCCGCCTCTCCATATCGAGATGCTTCTGGCACACACTATAGCCGAAAGCCCGCGGAAGCGGACACCGCCATCCTTGAGCCCACCTCCTGCACCGGTCCGTCTCGGGAGGAGATTCCAGGATGTCACCTGGCCGCTCTTCAGTGAAATCGTCCTTCATTGCCGTCTCAAGGGGTGGTCGCTTTCCCCCGACCGGTCGTGGTTCCCTCGGTCCGGGAGATCCATCATCCGGGCACTCTTTCAAAGTTTCCTCCCCGGTCACAAGGAAGCTTTTTTCCCGCTCCTCGGCTCTTTCGACCTCCTCCCGGTGAACTTCGCAACTCATCTCGGCCTTCAGCCACGTTCCTTCCCTGGCCAAATCTGCCGTTCTGCCCGGGGACCCCACAGCCTGCCCATGCGGTTTGTCTGCATCAGCCGAGCAGTCGGTGTGCGACTTACAGCCTACCACGTGGCAGTCCTTCGCGTTCTCGGGGGGCTTGCGCTTGTCTGGCCGGGCTTCGATGGCTGTCGAAGCTGTCCCCGAGGATGGAGACGTGTGCTCTCGATTGTTGTCTTCCTTCTGGGCACCAGTTTCAATCGTCGCATCAAGTACGCCAGCCTGCAGGTTCCACGAAAAAATAGGAGGCTCTCAGAGACGCTCGTGAATTTAAAATGGCGGCAAACAGCCCGTTCTTATCCTTGTTCTCGCTGAAGGTCATTAGCTGCGCCTCAAAGCCGGCTCGATTGGAACCAAGTCTGGCGACATTTCTCTGCGGAAGCGGCCGCTTCTACATCAAAGGCGTGAACTTGACGACAAGCTTCTCAGATTGGTCCTGAACATCGTACGTACCCTTGCCTCTGGCCAAGATTATACCTCCACCGAAGACTCTCCTTGAGTGACGAATTCAAGAGGCCTGGAAAGCTAGGCAACGGATCGACACCCACCTTCGCAAAGGCTGCGCCTTGGCCTGGGGGCTCGTTTCCCAAGGAGGGCTCCGTTGATTCTGCCTCCGGTGCGTACCGACCGCCTTCCTCCTTTGCGCGCGCTTGCGCCTCGCGCGCATCCGCTAGGGCAGTCTCAGTACACGCGCGCGTTTTCCGCGCCTCCGAGAGCGCACTCGGGAGTCGCGCATCGTCTCGCGGCGCGGGTCGCGCCCGCCCGTCGCGCGCGTCGCGCGCGCGTCCCCGGGACGGATAAACTTGCAGACTGCTGTCAGGGTGAGTGCGTCTGTAGAAGAAGATGTACCCCTGCGCCGCAGCGACCTCCGCCCACTCTGCTCTCGTCACGCTTGCGTCATCGAACAGGTACCAGCTGCCTCCGATGAGCACGTAAGCGATGTAGTGGCCGGCGTTGGGGGACTCTCCTTCATGCACGACGACGCCCTCCAGCTTGTAGCGTGGCCGCGAGGCGCGGCTGGCGGGGACCAGGTAGTCAGCGGCGGAAAGGGTTTGGCTGAAACCCACGTGAGCTGCGTCCTTTGCGCCGTTCTCCTTGAAACGCTGCAGGGAAACGAATGGAAGCTCTTCGAGGCTGTTTATTGCATCTTCGACCAAGCTTACATAGGATTGGAAACCGCGATCTGGATTCGTGAACGGAAAACAGGCTCTTTCGATATCAGCGACTTGAATGACGTAAAAAGAACAGCGACTGTTCGAAGCGGAATTCTGATCAATATGAGTGAAGTCAAAGGTCAAAGGTTTCAACACATCGGTTCTCCGAAATCATTAGTAGAATCTTTCCTGGCGGAAGCGGAAGCAACGCGATTCAAAGATGCAGGAAAAAAGAAGCTGTTTATCAGATTCGTCAAGCACTTTCTCAACGCCCAAACGCATATGGTACAAGAAGTGGAACGCACGGCCTTGGAATCCGGGGCCTACAAAGGCAGTTGGAACTATGGATCCTAATTTCTTGTTATGGTAACAAAGTAAGGCCAGAGAGGGCAGCACGGGCGAAATTGAAAGGTTCCAAGGACCCACCTTCACGTGGGCAATCAACATTCTTGGCGGCTCCCGAATGAGTGTCTGGATCATGGTCGGGCGCTTCCGTTCGCAGTACTCTCCATCGCAGAACACCTTGTCCTCTCCACATAGCGTTTCCGCCACCATATGCCCCTCCAAAGCAGACTCGAGAGAGGGGCCGCTGACTCCAAGGCTCAGGTCCACGAACGGCTCCGGTTCGTTGAGTGTCCGCTTTCCGCAGGTCAAACACCTCAGCTGCGAGAAGATGCATTCAGTGGGGGCTGGTAGTGTTAGCCGGTCAGTCGCGCCTGAACGTTTCCGAGGGGACGCCACGAAGCAGTAACGGGGAGTGAGAAATTACAAGATTGGGCCTCATTCTCAGGCTCCTCACTTCATCCTTCTCTTGATGAATCGTGAGGCATTCATCGTGAAAACTCTCACGTTTTTCATCAAATGCTTCATTCTTTTCACCGAATAGTATGAAGAGAGTGCGAATGAGGAGACATACCTGCATACTAAGTTAATTTCAAGGACTTGAAAAGAAAATTCCTCATTTTGGGTTCATTCTCGCTTTCATCATTTGAACTTCTGTCTTTGCTAGATAACGGTTCTT